ACTGATATTTATGCATTTGGAGGGAATTTAAGATAACGTTGAAACATTTTGCTGAGGCTTATTTAACCACTTATAAATAACTGGTAACACAATCCTCAATTGTTGCAGCAGACATGAAGAGATTCAGTTTCCATGTTTATTCTGTATCCTACTCAGTTTCTGCTTTCAACCCACTCACCACCCACTCAGTCGAGTTCAAATGAGGGCCTCAGGGCTCCTTCACAAATATGCACGCACACACACACTTATATACGGACCCTTGAATTGCTGCTAATGCGCGTGAGCAGCGTGTCCAGGATGGTGTCATTGTCATGGCGATGCAGCAGGATGAAGCGCAGGAAAGTTTTGAGGAGGGAAGTTTCCGTTATACTGCGCAGAAAAAGATCAAGGTAGGCTGTGCTGGCGATCATCTCATCCACCGATGACTGCAAACACACACAATTAAAGGTGTCTCAAAACTGCTAAAAATATGCAATATGATAATAGTTATGTGTGCACGGTTAAAAGCAACATTAAGGGAACTTGTTCACCCCCCCTCCCCGACTCGGCTGTTAAAGAAACTGCAGCCTTTCTAACAAAAACAGTCCCCTTTGCTACCTTATGCAGGGCGGGGCCGATGACAGGTACGAGGAAGCCGTTGTGAAGGTAATCCAAAAGCTGTGAGCGGACCAGCGGATGGGCGACCTGCACCACGGCGTTGCAGAACTCGAGCGAGTTCATGAAGAGCACGAGCGACGACACGCCCATCCAGTCCTCCCGCCGAAGGGCATGCCAGTCATCTCCTCGGACTTCTATCTTCCTCGGCAGAGAGGAATAAAGAGCGCTGAGGCCTGTCGCCAACACCTGAGGAGAGGCAGAGAGGTCACGGACGTCGCTGACTGAGTCACCTCTAGGAAGTCAGCAGGTGGCACCTCTCAAATAGTCTATTTTTAAAGTTCTGACTTTTGGAAGTAACAAACAAGAGCTACAAACTACACCAAATTAATGATGAGAGAAAATAAGCAGCATTTTCATACAAATATCACCAAGTCACAGCCCGTCCAACCCCTCCCATTAAGACTGTGCTGACTATTATTACCGTCTGCTGCAAATCTCAACTGCTTAAATGAGCAGTTTTTAAATATTTTCATCATAATTCAAATAATTGCAGCATGATGATCCGTACTCCGAGTCCTACTGTTACCAAAAAAAGGTTTAAACGAGTGCCTCCCCAGCACATGCAGACACAGTGGATTCACAGTCTAGCTCAAAGCAAATGTATGTATCTTAGCCGTTTAATAACAGCTGATGACTTTTATGAAAATCCGATATTTATTGCTGCTGCCGTGCACATATAGGATGGAGAAACCTGAACCCGTTAGGCTGACAAAACAGATGGAGCAAACTTCCTCAAGAAGAGCTGTGCACGGACACCAAGGGAGACGGAGCAAAGACGGGATGTTCTCTGTACTCTGCTTACAAAGTGAGAAAGACTACAATTGTTCCTGTTGTCTAAGAATGTTGAACTAGATCCAAAACTGTCAAAGCAAAGCTGATTATGATGCGTGTGAGTATGCACAGACAGGAAATAGCCAGACTCGGGCAGAGAGGAGCAATTGGTCATTAACGCCACCTCCACTGGATCTTTCAGCTGTAACTAGGTCAGACTGAAGCTGCTGGAAGGAAGATGAGCAGAAAATAGCTGAGTTAGCACCAGAGTATAGAGACCTGAGAGGGAGGGGGGCGGGGGACTACTGACCACAGTGCTGTATACAGACATCAGGCAACACTCGCTCTTATAAGGCAGAATGAAAGCTTAAACATTGCTCTGGGACCAGATTCAGTTAAAGCTGGATCCTGACCAACTCTTGTTCATACATTCAAATATATGCAGACACATGTTCCCATCACACAACTGTTAAGCAAATTAAACTAATAGCTTTAAATATGCACCTCAGACTGCATTAAGTATAACACGGCTCTTTAATTACATCTAGTGGCAGCTAAAAGAAATGACAAAAACAAGGCAGACAGG